AAAAACGTTAAATGGCGATCATTTAGGTGTAACGCCATCACTCACCCACATCTCAGACTTTCACATCTCAAACATTTATTTTCACATAAAAAATTACACATATTATTATAATTATCAAGAGTATATAATGGGAGTTCTCCCATATATACTCTTCGTTTCTATAATGTACGTCGATGGTTGCTCAATTAAAACTTACTTCTTCTCACTCACTCATTTGTGTCCTTTTTGTGGTGAGCTACAGTGTCATTGACACTTTCATTATAGAACTATTTACAAATACCATCGTGGCAGAATAGTGCAACAAGTTTGCATATACCTGTAACAGTTGCGAGCAATAGTTGTAGTTTTGTGTGACAAGTTAAGACTTGATATGTTGCTATTTTAGTGTTCATTCATAAGTGCGCAATATAGGTGTTCATATTTAAACCGTCATACGACATTGACGCGTTAGAAAATTTTCGTGGTGAATAAAATAAATTTAAGTACGCTTTATATACAAGTCTACTAATTATTGCTAGTTAAAAAATATTTTATACAGACCTACCAAGTCTCACGCATTTCACGGGAGACTCACGCATCTGGATCCATTCTCCAGCACTCTCGCATGCCCGCATGCCCCGCATGCCCTCCATTCTCACGCATTCACGCAAAAGAAAAAAAAATCAACAGTTAAGTTTTACCCTTCAGAATTAAAGTTTTTATGCCTTAAAATTTAATTTTGTCTTATTTTCTTCGAATGCTAACAGGATATATGTACTGCAAATACATGCCAAATGTTCAGAAACTGGTCGTGTTTGAAAATATTCTGAATCTCCAGCATTATATTCCCAAAACGACCCATTCTCCAGCAAAATCTCACTGATATCTCCAGCAAGCTGGTTGAACACCCTTGGCAGGTCTGTTTTATAGGTAATTAAAAATATGACGAAATATAGTTTCTATCTATGCATCATTGCATGCAAGCGCAGTAGATAGGTATATGCATGCGAGTACGCACGCATGCTCACGCATACACGCGCGGACGTCGCCACATACGTATGGTAATAAGGCGGAGTGTATTAGCATCAAGCTGCATTCTGTTTCTGATACATAACTATATTTCTGTATATGGATAGAATATAAGCCTTAATCACACAGCAAAAAATGAAAACGCTCTACATATCCGGGATCAATTTATCCCACTGAATGCAACCGATTACAAACGAATCACAACAACAACAACAATAAACCGGGAAAAGTTAGTTTGGAAATCCGGGGGAAATCCGTACCTAGCTTCCATCGTCTAGTACCGAAGTCACATCATAACCTCAGAAAGATTAGTCTTCAAAGTCCAAAAGACTATATATAGTTATTTGGACTTTAAAGACTAATCTTTCTGAGGTTATATCAATTTTCTCTCTCGCGGTTTTCGATAATATCAGGAGATCGAAGACCGCGAGAGAGAAAATTGATCAAGTCGACAAATCAACACTGGGGAGGGATTGCAGTAGCAAAAGCTTAAATTTTAGAATTCTGTGGTTAGCTACATACATATTCGTTATTTGATATATCCGTATACCATCGTGCTACACTCATATCTGGTTATAGCCATTTTAGCGTATTATTAGTGTCATTAGTGACACGACACGCAAGACTGCGCGCGCGCAAAACGATCGTTCGATGTCCAAACACGCCCATTGGGTGCCCCTCGCTACGAAGACTCACTTACTGTATTGGCAGTGAGCCGTTCAGACGTTCCACCGTTGGCGTAGCTGCGGTTGTTAATATTATTCTCATATTCAAACGTTCTACCATTGAAAACGTTTAAACAACAACATTTAGTAATGATAGGGTTTTGGCGGACGACTTCGTGGCTGATAATTGTGTTGTTGGCAAGGATTCATGTCGCAAAGAGTAAGTAGAGATTGTAGGCCTAAACAAATGCATTGAAATTCGTAGGCTAGCTCCACGTGTCTTAGAAAAATGTCACCATGTAGTTTTCAAACGACCTTGAGTGATCATTTGCCATTTCTTTTAAGGTGATGGGCAGTGTGATGTATCGGAATTTAGTTGTACGAATGGAAAATGTATACCCATCATGTGGAAGTGTGATGATACTGATGACTGTGGCGATGGATCGGACGAAAGCGATTGCCGTAAGTAGAAAATTTGTTCTTACTCTTACGTGGCCTAGATGGCATTGGTACGCGCGTTATACTATTTATTAATGACAATATTTGTATCGGTAGTAAGAAGCTGGTGACTGCTTTATCTTTCGAACCTGTTTGCACAGCTTAATTGGGTATAATCGCATTTGCTTAGTTTATCTTAACAGGGAGGGAATCCAGATACTAAGTTCTGGCAGAAAGCCAAAACTGAGCGCGGCATCGACTGTAACGTGATGTATTATTTGCCGTTTTTCCCGGCGCGTCATATCGTTCGAAGCGTGTGATTGGCCGAACGGCATCATGCTATGCTATAATGCTACGCATCCTTACATCATTAGCGTAAATACATGTATACTTTCTCATTCATTCTTTATTCAGTATTGATTTAGGAAGGCGTTGTACGTAGTATAATACACACACTCTTTCTAGTGTACTACTACTAGCAGGTGCACAATGTCTTATTATTTCAATACATATGGTACATCCTTATGGTGTGAGATGGAATTGTTTATGTCCAGAAATTATAGACATCGCCAATGTCAATGACAATGTAAATATTGGATGGTGTGGTATTAGAAGCTGAAAGTACAGTATTTTAGTGATTATACTTAACGCACACGCGAACACATGCACGCACAAAACAAATCTATCGTTGTTCGCATGTATGTTTATATATACGTTCCGTCTTCTCACATATATATATATATTTATATTATATTTTCGTTCTGACGGATGGATATATATAATATACAGAGTGGCTATTATGCCCGGCAGCCGGCATATATCTGACGGCTGCCGGGAACGGTCTTCGATTTCCTAAATGCCCGGCAGTTTTTAATTTTCAGCGTTATCTCAAGTAAACAAGGGATAGGGTTAGGGTTAGGAACTGCATTTAGGAAATCGAAGACCGTACCCGGCTGCCGGGCATATAGCCACTCGGTATTATAAATGCCGAACCATTACTGCCTAACCGTGCCATAGCTTAAATGTGCTTTAATTACTTCTTTTATTTAATTTGCTTTAATGACTTCGTTGATATAATATACTTTGCAGTCACATATTATCAAGAGCGTATAAAGAAGGAGAGTGTACAAGGGTAAAATGCTGAAACCATGCTGCAGTATTACTCGAATTAATAAACTTTTCGACCGTTTTATTTTGACGAATGCCTGTTGCAGTATTAATTGATTAGCTTGTCTTAACCTTGTTCAATTATAAAACACACCCGCGATGTGTAGATGCGTCCCTCCACCTGAGATATCCTTATCATAGCGAGCGCTCGCGATGTTGAATAAATCTAGGTATGTAATTCAACCCGATGAGTACCGAGCATGTAGCGCTCGGCGCACGAGTGAAGGTCGATTTGCGTTGGCAAGAATGTCTGGCCGCTCACTGCACTATAAACTCTCTGTGAATCAAAGTGTTTAACTCAGATTCCGGCACACAGCTCGCTCTTCGGCGCGGTGCGAGCTGGTCTGTGAAAGACTGTAGGCTAAATGCTTGTAATATTTTTGGATTACGCGCATCTCATAGTTAAGTGACTCAGCTAGGTGTAACACTTGGACAAACCCTAATAAAGCGACTTGGTTGTGCGCACATGTAAGGTAATGTCAACTTATTAACTACAAACAACGGTGGGACACAGTTCACCCTACAGCTCATCTCGTCAACATTGCATAAATCCAAGTGGAGCCTATTATTTCTTTAATGCAGCTGCTGGGGATGATATCGCATGCATAATATCTGTTCGTCGGTAGTTAAAATTTAACCATGAGTGCACAGCGCGTCACTCGAATGAACCCGGCTACAACACGTGACAGGTGGCACCGCAAGGACGAACCAGGAGATGGTTGAGGCCACGTAATACATGCGGCCGATGCGCTCATTTTCGATCGCCGGTATAATATAAAGCATTGCGGAACAATTCATATCTGCTTGGTTTAGCCGCTCGTGAGCATACGCGCAGCTTCGTACGTTAATAGTTAAGATGTGAAAAATGTCGAATGTTAAGACACGAGTGGAGGAGATGTTATCTCGGATAGTCGGGATTATTACTGGCTATGAGTAATATTTCAACCAGATTTTCACGGGGTGGGGGAGCTGCTTAACACACAACTCTAATGGTCACAGGACGGGTAGCGGCATCGCTGATGGCACGCACTTTGCGTGTGCTCTTCCATATATATTATGCATAGACACGTAGGTTATCGCACAGCTGGTAATTACAATTCAAACTCATCTTCGCGTGCTAATACGCATTTTGATCTCAAAAATAAAACGGGAAAAGTTTCTCCTCTCAATTTCCACTGACTCCACACATCTCCTCCCAGCTACTGGGTCTTCATATCATCTTTAAACTCACGCACTTAGGGTACGTGGCTTCTACATGTATCTCTTTTTATACTTGCTCTCTCTCGCCGCACATCATAAATTATTCTGATTATGTAGTCGCTAAAGCTCCGCTTGAGACGAGTGGATGTGCTTCAGAAATTTAAGTGGCTTCATGCTCTTAACTCAACCATAAGTGTGTATATCTATATCTTGTAGGTTCCGCTCTCGCCTGTTCCAAAAAAACCCCCATTGGCGCCGGCATGTACTGACCGTTACGGTTTCCGAAATTCGTCGCACTCTACATAACCTTCCGTTCCGTAATACATATAAATATATAGAGTAGGACACATATATAACACTCAATTGTGAAGAAGATTAGTCCGCACATATAGCATGGCGTGCTGTAGGTGGGCACAGTCACACTTGCGAGAATGTCTCATCCTGGCCATCGTAACAATTGTCGGCTTAACAAAGAGCAGTGTATTGACTTCCAAAGGACCTCGTATGATCGTAACGAATTAGGCAGAAACACAATATAGGCGACTAATACACGAGTAACAATCAAGAAAGTAGAGTGTGACGCGAGTAGAGAGAGAGAAATCGGCAGAGAAGATAGCTGGGAGAGGGCTGAGGGGGGGAGCCGCAGATCTGACTGGCAGATGACATCTCGCTCTGCCCCGTCATTACGCATAATTACAGGGTTACCCTAACTAGATTGATCTAAGTTATAATCAGAGATCGCCCCAGAAATAATTACGTATAGGGAAGATGAGTAGA